CCCCCCCCCCCCCCCCTTCTCTCTTTGTGTGTGTGTACATAAAAAGTTACATGTGTATATACTTAACTTTGTTATACACACACACAACTATTTTCATAGATGGTTTTGTTGTAAATGACTCCAATTTCGTTGGATCATGTTGGACTTTTTTTATTAACAGGGAAAACCCAAAGTAAGATCTTGCTTGTAATTTCTTTGTGCTTTTCGTTTTTGTTGACTTAATATTTAGTGATTTTTTTTATCTTTATTTTATTGATTGTTGCTAGAGTCTAGTTTTGGATTTGAGAGTTGTTTGTTTGAGATCAAGTTCAAATTTCATCACCAAAAGAGTAACAAGATGTTGTTTAATTAATGTACTAGTATATATTTGAGAAAATATATATTTCCCAATATTTTTTAAAAATTTATTTTTTTAATTGATAGGTTGGTATGATTCAAATTCGGATGGGTGAACAATACCAAGCTGAAATTCCTTCTTTAGTGTCAAGTTCTGAGTATTCTTGGTTCCCAAAGAATCCACATAATGCAAGCGACACTTGGAGTGAAATAGAAAAAACAAGTTTCTTACTTGGCTTGTATATATTTGGGAAGGACCTAAATGAAGTGAAAAGATTTGTTGGCAATAAGACAATGGGGGATATACAAGCATTTTACTATGGGACATTTTACAAGTCTGACAAATATCAAAAATGGTATGCATATAAGAAAACAAAAAGAAAAGGCGACAAAAATGCACCAAAATTTTTCACAAGACAAAGGCAACAAGCGCTTTTATATCGTTTATTACCAATTGTAACTGAGGAATGCTACAATAATTTACTTAAGGTATTTACTTCAATTCTTCCCAAGTTTATATGCATTTTTAATTCTATCATTTCATGGCACCAATAACTTTTGTAAATCCATGCTCACATGGACCATGTTGTTATTTACTAGGATATATTGCTTTTGCCTCAATACCTTTACACGCCAAATTAACAATTGACAAAGCATGCAATGCCTTTATTCATCTCTCACCATTTTTTCTAACTTTATGTTTGTTAACAATAAGGTCACCACATTTGAGGTGGTGTTTGCTTTAGTATCTGTTGGGCCATCACAATTTTCTTAAAGAGGCACCTTTATATATTAAGGGAGAAAGGTGTTTATAAACTACCATTATCCTCTACTCCTAAATGATGCAAGATTATTTAGCCTATTGAAACAACCCCATGATCAAGACTAAGGGGTAAGAGTGGCTTCAATCTCTTCTAGTGCTAATGTTTCAACCTTAAGTTTGTTATCAATGTTAGAGTCACTACAACCAAGATATTGTATGCTTTGGCGCATGTTGAGTTGTCATAATATTACAATGTTATGGTCACTGCATCTAAGATATTGTATGCTTTGACATTCTATAAGTTGTCAAAGTATTATCCTAAAAAGGTGTTTTGATAAGTTAAGGGATAAGGGTGTTTATAAAATACTTTGGACCATGACTCCTAGGAGACATGAGACTTTTTAACATACCAAAACATCCTTGCTCATTCGTCATGGGTTGGACTTTTCAATACATTGTTGGATAGAAATGGCTAGGAAAAAAGACATCTTTCCTCCACCCAAATAGTAGAAAAAAAATGATTTTGATGAGGGTGTTTATTCTTAAATAAATATCACCTTTAAAAAACGTAATGATTTTGATTAATGTTAAAGATTACCTTCTTACCTTTTATTGACTTCTTTTTGCAAATAATATGTCTTATTTTCAGTTAGAATCCTATCTTTATGGCCATATGCATCTTTAAAAAACCTAGAATGTCATAAAATAATATTTTTGTTCATGTTTGATATATTAATTCAAGTTGTTAAATAACATTGATTTATTGATGTTGGTGGCTAAATATTATGCCAAGTGGTTAAAAAATGGAAAGCTTGAATTATAATCTTTTCCATTTTCCTACTATATATGTCTGCTACAAGAAAATATTGATTAATTCATTATGGAAAGTGTTAACACTAGAACTACATTAAATTGCATGATAGGTATCCAAGACATTTGCAGAGGAAAAGATGACTCTTAAAGATTATGTTTCAAATTTAAAGGTTTTAGTTGGGCGTAATGCTCTTGTTGAGGCAGTTGGGATTGGTACAGAAAAAGATCTTACAGTTCATGCTACATATTATGGGAAATACACTCATGCACAATTTCCCTTGTGCCCAGAAACACCATTAAGCAAGGGCTATGATAGGCTTTCAGTTGCAGAAATAATACACATTCTCAAAGGCAATTTAAGATTAAGTAAAGCTCGATCACATGATCTCTTTTGGGAAGCTGTTTGGCCACGTTTACTTGCTAAAGGATGGCACTCTGAGCATTCGGGTGGCAATAATGATGTTGTTGCTTCTAAGAAGCATTTGCTTTTCTTTATCCCAGAAGTTAATGAGTTTTCAAGGACATTGGTGAAAGGCACTCACTTTTTTGATTCTATTCCCGATATCCTCAATAAAGTGGCTTCATACCCTGACCTAATTGAGCTCCAAACAATTCAGAGTGTGGAACCTGATAGCATAAGTGTTGTAGTTCCTACTGAGGCAAAAAGATGTAAGACATCAAACATCAGTGGTTGTGCAGAGAGGAATTTCAACACAGGACATCAAATGCATCAACCTGACATGGTCACCTTGAGGAGAAGCACAAGAACCACACAACCAACTATAAGGTTGTTGGAATCTTTTGCCTTTGATCATACAGAGATAAAGGAAAAGTAGAAAGGTAATGATTTTCTCCCTAAAAAGAAAATTTGACAAAACCTTTCTAATGTATACATCTTAAAATGGTTTGAGACTTTTGTTGAAACTTAAGATATCATATGACATGAAGATAGTAACCTATTTAGTCATTAAATTAGTACATCATACAAGTTTTGAAGAATGTTAATATGAATGCAAAGTCATTGTAAGAGAAGCTTCATCAATCTTCCTTGCTCCGAGCTTGAAGCTTTACGCTTTGTTCTCATTTTAGTTACATTACAATTATCCATTCCCTACTAAGGTGTCATTTTATTTTGATGTATACATCTTTTATAACTTTTGTTAATTTTATAATGAAATTTCATAAGTTATTATCAATATTATTGGTATGAAAATATATATCAAAATGTTTAAAATTATTTTTATTTATATATAATTATAAATGTTATTTTAACTCTATTGGTCTTTGATATTGTTCACAATTATTTAAATTGTCGTAAAAAAATACTTATCATACATTATTGAAGTAATTAATATTTTTCGACATTTGAATTTAATATTTTCATTTATGATAATTTATTTAAATTTTATTATCTATTATTATGATGAATATGTCAATTAATATTAATCGTAGGTTATATGTTAATCAATAGATTTTTTTAATCAATGAAAAAATTGCAAAAGTGACAATTGTAATAATACTATTTTCATATATTTTTTATTTGATTATAGGATTATTTTATGTTATATGTTGTTGTTTAGGAAAGGTCTAAGGACTAGAAAACTCATAGGCAAAGGTGTAGATTTGTAGTTTGAGAAAATGTTGAAGTTGGTCATGTGAGGTTTGAGGTATAAATACAAAAATGAAAACTATAACATCATAAGTTTTATTTTCAAGTTTCTAGAGAGATAAACTAAAGAAAGGGACTCTAAGAATTCATGAATCCTCTTCAACTTCTGATAGTCTCACGAGTCGAGATTAACTTTTGCATGATGATGCATGGTGCAACTTGGCACATAGTTGTGATATATGCAAGTTAATGCATTTAGTGTTGTGTTGTGGTTGTGCATTGATATTTGATGTGAGATTTTAATGTTGTAAGCATTGTGACTCAAAGCTATGTGATTGTTTATATTCATGTTGTAAGCACTTCCATGTTTTTATATCATGTTTCCTTTATACATCAAGCTTACTCCATTATTCTGTGTGTTGCATGCAATTATCATGTCCTTGACAAGGGAGCAAATCAGGTATAGCTTGAGGATGGTAGCATGGAGTTGTTGGTGACCATTTATAGATGGTTGGAGCTTGAGATCGTTGATCTGTAAACTTGTGTATAGTAGTTAAACGAGCATAAGTTTATGTTTTCTATTGTTGGACATATATATTTGTATACTTTGGGACGTGTAACCCCATAAGGGGATTTCTTTTTACTGTTGGATGATTGGGAACTATTACTTTTTTTATATTTTGTTTCAGTTGATAGTTGAGATCTCATCTATATATAGGTCTTGCATATGCATGATATCGATGTTTTGTTTGCATGAAAACCAATGGCAGAAGATTTATCTTTCTGATATGATGTTGTGTTATTGTAATGTTATGTTGTTATACCAGTGTTCAATTGTCCAATCGTTACATATACAAAAGGGATTTACACTCTACTAGGCCCACACTTAAATCCTTACCAATCCACTCAATTACAATCCCCCAAACACACATTTTCTATAAATCCTTTTTAATCCCTCCCCATCCTCTCAAATCCCCAATAAATCAACTTTCCCACATTGTTTTGGTGTGTTTGGGAAGAGTGAATTGACACAAAATGAAGAGAGAGAGAGGGGGGAGGGAGAGAAAAAGAAAGAAAGAAAGGATTTGTAGCTAATTTAAAAAAGTGAGTTGTTTGGGGAGGGGAAGTGTGAGGATTTGATGGTAGGTAAGTGTGAGTCCCATGCCAAAAAAGTATCTACTAAAATGAGGTGATTGAATGAAATTTCTAAAAAATGTCAAAAACATTGTTTATTCATCGCTCTTTTCTTCACCTCATTCGACCAAAAATACTTGACATAATTGATTATATATCATAATATATTATGTTAATTATTAAATATTATTATAATTAATTATGATAAACAACTACTCTTTTCAGTCTTTATTATAAGACACAATTTGGAAAGAATTATTAGTTTTTTTTATAAGGCACTTTACAATTTTTATAAAGCATTAATTATTTTTTTTACTCCTATTAAAGATTGTAAGAGTGTGTGCTTTTCTCTAACACACATTTTAGACTTTTCGATTGTTATTTACTCCCTCCATTTTTTATTCATAGTCGTTTAAGGTTTTGCACGGGACTTAAGGAAATGATTGATATTTTAGTTTTCAAAAACATTTATTACTTACTTTCCTATTCTACCCTCTATTTTTTATAGTATTTCGTTGGAAACATATTACCCTTTTAAATGCAACATTAACTTCACATAGGTGGTTGGAGAAAAAATAGGTAGACATTAGAAATAAATAGACACATTGTTTAGTAAACATACATTAATTATCAAGGGTAAAAATGAGAAGAAAAAAAATTAATAAGTCATTGATTTTAGTAAAATGACAATGAAAAAAAAAATAACAAATTCTGACAAAACGACTATGAATAAAAAATGGAGGGAGTATTAGTTTTATTGGTACTAGTGCATAAGCCTTTATATGGAGTAATATTTTCATCTCATGAAAATTTAGTGATAAGTGAGAAGGATAAAATTAACAAATCAACTAACATAACTACTTATAATGGTATGTATGATTCAATTAAAAGTGTAGTATAAGAAAGATTGGAGGGAATATATAATTTATATTAATTTTTTAAAGTAAATATAACAAAGACAAAATAAATACCAATTTTTAATTTCCCCTTTGTTGATTTCTACATTTCTTAAGACATATTTACCCTTTAATAACTATAACTTTTCTTTATTTGTCATCCTACATTATCTCCTCTAATAATCACAACTCTACTTTAAATAAGGTTATTATTTCCATGCATTTTTTGATTAACATGTTTTGGTGACTCATGTGCATTGGACGAATAGAATGTGACCATATGTCCACCTTTGTCACATCAATTATAGAGGGTAATTTTTTAAATATTTCTCTCAACTCTCATGGATTTATGTGCAAGTTTTGATATATATATATATATATATATATATATATTATTTCTTAAGGATAAATTTTTTATTATAATTTATTTACCTACAAGTTGGGTCGTGATTTTTCATAGGTTTAGGGTTATTTTTTTTTCATGGGTCATGATTTTTCTCATGGGTTATTAGGTCAATTTTTTTCATGGGTAATTTTCAACCCTTTTCCTCTAACAAATAAATGTTTCTTAAAGAAAGTGAAATAGGATCTAACAGCCTTAAGCAACGATGTGTTTATGTTGGAACTCCTTTACTATCTTCACCAAATTGAATAGGACAAGAGAATGACAAATGCTTCAATCAACACAAATGAAATAAGAATGCATTCAATAAAGTTTTTCCATGTTACAAGAAGCTATAATTTTGTGGTGATTACCGTTAAAAAAATAACCAAAAACAAAATAAAGTGAAATGGAAATACATCCAATTCAAATTCACACTCATTGAAATCATAGTTAATCAAATTAAAGTAACAACAATTGACATAAGAACATGGTTTAGAATTCTCTTTGGACTCATTTGTAATGTTAACAAACACAAAAGAACTTCAAAGTCATGTATTTCTAGGGGTGTGCATGGTTTGGTTTTTCCAAAAAACCACATTGAACCGAACCACACCATTTTATTAAATTGAACTAGTTTATAAACTATTTGAACCACTTTAATAAATCGGTTTAAAACTAAATTATTTTAATAAACAGATTTATAATCAGTATAAAATCAGTTTCAAAACCAAACCAGTTTTTAAAATTGATTTTAAGAAATAAACTAATTTTAACCAATTTTAAAAAATGTACCAGTTTTAAAAATTAATTTTCCTGTATTTTTTCTTCTATAAAAACATCAGAAACTAGTTTATTGACTTTTCTTATATTAAACCGATTTCAAAACCTATATTTTTTTCTGCTAAAAAAAATACAATTGCAAAACTATCATAATATAGTACAAGTGCAGTATTATAGTTCTACTAATTGGTATTTCCTGTTTAGAGTTCACTAAATTCGTAATACAATTGTAAAACTATCGTACACTACAAAAAAAAATTGCACGAAATAGAGGCTCTCTTAGTTTCTAGATTATTTGCTAAAAATTTTGCCCAAAAGAATTTATTTTAAAATCCTGGTATCTTTACTAAACATATAGACAAGAACTGTCCAATTGAGAATGAGTATGACGTGGAGGTGCAATTGTGCGAGACGAGATCGATTGTGAATTTATTATATCTCCGTGACAGTATAAACCAAATCCTTTTTGAGTGAACCGACCCTCTTAAAAAATAGGTTCGATCTTTAAAATTATATTTAAAAATATATATCTAGTTCATTTTTTTTTACAATTGGTTCTAGTTTTTTTTAAAATGGTTCAGTCTGGTTTTAAATTCAGTTCGATTCTTTTGGTTTTTTGAACACCCCTATGTATTTCCTCAATTTAAATGTAACAAACATGGAAGTCAAGAATTTAGTATGAAAATAAGAAGGAATAATAACTTGGGAGAATCAAGATGGGGTTCAAAAGGGAGCATAGGGAAAAAAGAACGAACTCACCTATTTTTAGGATTTTCACAATTAGTGAAGATGTGAGTGAACATGTGCTTCATAGTGAACATTTGTTCTTTTCAAATCAATGAAAATAATGAAGGAGTTTCAGCACAAGGACATTGTTGCTCAAGGCCATTATATCCTATTTCAGTTTCTTCTAGAATGATTTCTCCAATAGAGGAGAAGGGTTAAAAAAACCATGACTCAAATTGTAAGTAAATAACTTATGGTAAAAAAATTTAATCCTTAGGAGTTGAAAGTAATATTTAAGAAATTACCTTCTATAATTGATGTGACAAAGGTAGACCAATGACTACATTTTATTATTTTAACACACATAAACATCAAAATATATTAATCAAAACATGCATGGAAGTAATAGCTTTAAATAAACCCACTTTTAATGTGTTATCACAAAAATTTAAGTGGACTCAACTCTCTTTGTAATTTTAATTGTTGTAATACTTGTTGACATTTCTTCGACCATGACCTCATAGTGAAAAACGTGAAATTGTTGCATGATAACAAGGTCTTGGACTCACATTTACTTTATACTATGCAGAAGTCCATCTTTTCTTTTGTCTTATGACATGAAGAAGGACGTTGAAGAAGTTAAAGAAATAGGGTTTGAAACTTCCAAGTGTAAGTTCATGATAGTGTTGCTAGCCAAAAGGGTCATTTTGAAAAGACGTGAAAGTTGAGGCCTTTAAGAGATGGGGTTTGTCAGAAAAGATGGTTCTTGACGCATTCAGGAAGCAACCCTCTATTTATGTTATCATCCAAGGATAAAATTAATAGGGTAATGAGATTTTGGGTTGATCAATATGGTTGGGACTCTTTCACCCTTACCAAGAGGCTAAAGATGTTTGGGTTTAGTTTGGTGAAAATGGTCATTCCTATGGCTTTTGTTGTGTAGTGTTTGATTGCCAACGATTTGAGAGAAAAGAGCACCAACTTGTTAACCCCATTTTTTATTTCTGATAAGTTATTTCTTGAAATATAAACTATTTTGAGGAGGAAAATGATTAACTGTTAAAGTTGTACAAGGAAAAATGAATGTCCAATCAAACAAGGAAGATTGTGAATGTGTTTAAATACCCATTATCACATATTTCAATTCATTCAAATAGAAAAGCATGGATCTAGGTGGATTAGCATACTTTTGTAATGGTGAAATGGAAAACCAAACATGGACTATGTAGTGTACTGAAGCTATCAAATGGTTAACTTGTGAGTTCAAATTTTGTGTATTCAACCTTATGTTTTTTCATCCTATTAAAGTACTTGTCATTTGTTGTATAATTTGCAGCTAATTTAACTGAGTTGTTTCTTTTTCTAGTTTTGAACTCTTGTGGATTGTTGCAATTCCCACTATAGTTGTGAATTATGATGTACATCACTACTCGATGCTTTATAAATGACTGGAGCACAAGTATAAATTCTTTAATATATGATGCTTATTTCTAACCTTGATTAACTTGCATGTTCCTATTGTTGTCTTTGTAACAAATATATATTCACCAATTTTGATTTTTGAGTATGTATTTGGGAAGATTCTTTGGTTGGTATTAATGGCTAGTAAATTGGCTTGTGACTTGTCAAATATTTTTAAGGATTTATTTTTTGGTCATTTAGCTTAGATATAAAGGGCAGATTTGCAAGATTACCAAATCTCCTTCAATTATTGTTGAATTTAAAATATATCATGGTCCATGTCTCATTTATTCTTTGTTGGCAGAATGTCAACTTAAGGCAAAACTTGAGTATTTGAATAGTTATTTCTGAGATGTTTAACAGGG